TGGGAGGATTGCTTGAGCTCAGGAGTTCAAGACCACCCTGGGCAACATGGCAAAACCCAGTCTCTACAAAAAATACAAAAATTACCCAGGCGTGATGGTATATGCCTGTAGTCCCAGCTCCTTAAGAGGCTGAGGTGGGAGGATCATCTGAGTCCAAGATGTGGAGGTTGCAGTGAACTGAGATTGCAGGACTGCACTCCAGCCTGGGTGACAAAAGAAAAAAANTCTCAAAAAAGAAAAAAAAATTTACCAAGATCAGTGGTTTATACCCCTGAAAGACAAAGTGAAATCTAGTCTAGCAACACTAGCAACAGGAGGAATTTTGTTAGAAACTGGGAATCTCAGATTCACCCCAGACCTATTCCAGATTAGCATTTTAAAAAGATTTGCATTTCAACAAGATTTGAATGTACTTTAAAGTTTGAAATGCACTGAATGGTACACTGCATGTAATATTTGAACCTGTCCTGTATTAAATTATATAACTTAAAATTTTCTCCTCCAACTCCTAAAAGTTTAGTCAAATTCTGCTGCTGTAATATTACACAGTATTTCCAAATAAATTTTCATCCAAGTAGCTTGTTGAAGTGCCTAAAAGAAGAGATAATTAGGACTTGTTTGAGCTTATAGAACAACTTGAGCCTGCTTGCTAGTAAGTATATGTAAGTGTGATAAAATTTAGTCCAAGAGTTCCTTAATTGTAATACTCCTAATAGTGAGATTGTACTAGCTTTTACTTCCAAATATTGGTGGCTAGCACATATAGGTATAAAAAAGGAACCCAGTTAATTTTATTTTTATTTATTTATTTATTTATTTTGAGACAGAGGCTTGCTCTGTCACCTAGGCTGGAGTGTGTGGTGTGATCTCGGCTCATTGCAACCTCTGCCTCCCGAGTTCAAGTGATTCTCCTGCTTCAGCCTCCAGAATAGCTGAGACCACAAGTCTGTACCACCACACCTGGCAGTGTAAATATATAAAAATATGCATTTTTATATATTTTAGTATATATATAATATATAAAAATTATATATAACATTTAAATATAAAAATATATATTTTTATATATTTTAGTAGAGACAGGATTTCAACATGTTGGTTAAAGTGGTCTCAAACTCCTGGCCCCAGGTGATTCACCTGTCTCGGTCTCCCAAAATGCTGGGATTACAGGCATGAGCCACCGCTTCAGGCCTCCAAATCTCATCTTGAATACCCATGTGTTGTGGGAGGGATCTAGTGGGAGGTAATAGAATCATGGGGTTGGTGGGTCTTTTCAGTGCTGATCTTGTGATAGTGAATACATCTCAGGAATTCTAATGGTTCTATAAGGAGGTGTTTCCTTGCACAAGCTCTCCCTTTGCCTGATGACATCCACATAAGATGTGACTTGCTCCTCCTTGCCTTCCACCATGATTGTGAGGCTTCCCCAGCCACATGGAACTTAAGTCTATTAAATCCTTTTTCTTGTATAAATTACCCAGTCTTGGGTATGTCTTTATCAGCAGCATGAAAGTGGACTAATACCAAAGGCTTAAATATGAAAAGTGAAACCATTGTGTTAAAAAGGAGATAATATAGGAGAATATCTTTGTGGAATTATTTCATTAAGAAAACCCAAAAAGCAAAAGTTACAAGGAAAGAAAGAGAGAGAAGAAGGAAGGAAGGAAGGAAGGGAGGGAGGGAGGGAGGGAGGAAGGAAGAAGGAGAACACGAATAAATATTAAGCATCAACATGGACAAAGTTAGAGACATGACAGACTGGGATATGTAATATTAGCAGTGCTTAAAACCTAAAAGAGATCAATATGTAATACATGAGGAGCTCCTGCATATCAGCAAGGAAAATGCATGAACCCTATAAAAAATAGGTCAAGATTTTTACCTAAGATGTTTAACCTGAGATCTGATCCCAAGAGGCAATCCCTTGCCTTTAATTGATGAGAACCACTAATATTTTTAAAAAAGAATCCAACATTATTGAATGGCCAACGCTGTTTAGTTGGCAACAACAGCAAAATGTTACCATGACTGAAACACTAGATTGGAAAGTTTTGACAATGAAGAGGAGAAAGTTAGGAACACGAAGCACTGCATTGAGAGATTCTACTGGAGAAAGGAAATGTTTGTGACCAGAAGAAATGTCTCTGGTACCTTGGGAATTGGGAGCATTAAAAGAACCAGGAAGACATCTATGTAGATGAACACAAGATACAATGTGCCATTTGGTTGGCTTTTGGCTGCTCCTCACCCCTTGTAGAGTCCCCCAGTTATCCCCTGTTCCCCTCACTTACCCCATTTCTTTCTATGTCCTAACCAAAAATCAGAGTGCCTACATCACTTTGTGACCCAGCCAGCTGCAGATTTTTTTCCCAGCAGGCTTGAACCCAAACCTTGGGTTATCCCTAGGCATTGATAAAAGTATCTAGGTTTACTAGAAATAAACTGGCAGCAGCCCTCAGCCAAATCTGTTAAACCTTCATATAAACTCCATACCCTGACCCCTTTGCTGCAGACATACCTAGGAAGAATATCCCTTTTCTCTTGCTGTCCAACTGGAGGATTGCAGGAACCCACTTGGTAGGTAAGTTTCCCAAGTGAATGCTTTGGACTGATCCCACTGGTACTTATGACTTCTTTCTTTTGAATCCCAGCTGGCCCTGTTCCTGCTTTTAGGACAACTTTAGCCACATGTTTATCGAGACACAAAGTACTCCTTCTACTCAGCAACTTCAAACTTTCAGAAGCTATTGCATTTACAAACTAAGAAAAAAATTGTGCACATACATGTGTTTAAATTTGTGTGATTGATCACTTATGTGGGTTTAGTATAACCATTCATGATATATTTTGCTTTATGTAATAAACATAGTCCCCAGGAGATAATGCTTGATTAAATTTCCCAATGAAATACTTTTATTGTCAATGAACTACATAATGCCTCAATAAACTGTGATTTTTTTATTAAATTGTTCCCAGAAAGAATGGCTTAAGAGCCACCAGTATGAGATGTAAATTACCATTTGAGGCAGATATTTGCTAACATTTGGTAATGATCTTATATAGGAGATCAAATGAATATACTTAGAGATATATTTTGCAACCACTTTCTCTTGGAAGGTTCATTAGAATATATTTTAAAATGACACATTTTGTGGGAGCTTTTGAGTTATTTTATGTATCATCTTTAAAAATTCCCCAGGCAAAAATAATTATGGCAAAGTTCTGTTGCCCTCTGGAGCAGGATATGGCAGTCTCCCTCATTCGTTTCTCTAAGTACTAAAAAGACCTAGAATTGCTTGTGGAAGAAAATCTTGGCTTTACCCACAAATAGCCCCTTGGTCCATGTCTGTTGGAAGTTGTATTAATCTGTTTTCACACTGTTGATAAAAACATACCCGAGACTGGACAATTTACAAATGATTTTATGGACTTACAATTCCACATGGCTGGGGATCCCTCACAATCATGGCAGAAGATGAAAGGCACATCTCACATGGAGGCAGACAAGAGAAGAGAAAAGCCAGGTGCAGTGGCTCATGCCTGTAATCCTAGCATTTTGGGAGACTGAGGCAGGCGGATCACTTGAGGTCAGGAGTTCAAGACCAGCCTGGCCAACATGGTGAAACCCTGTCTGTACTAAAAATAAAAATTAGCTGGTCATGGTGGTGCATGCCTGTAAGCCCAGCTACTCAGGAGTCTGAGGCAGAAGAATTGCTTGAACCCGGGAGGTGGAGTTTACAGCGAGCTGAGATTATACCATCGCACTCCAGCCTGGCGGACAAGAGCCAAACTGTCTCAGAGAGAGAGAGAGAGAGAGAGAGAGAGAGCGAGCTTGTGCAGGGAGACTCCCATTTTTGCTTTTTTGTTGTTATTGGTTTTTTGTTTTTGTTTTTGTTTTTTGAGACAAAATCTCACTCTATCACCCAGGCTGGAATACAGCAGTGTGTTCTTGGCTCACAGCAACCTCCACCCACTGGGTTCAAGTAATTCTCCCACCTCAGCTTCCCTGGTAACTGGGATTACAGGCATGTGCTACCATGCCCGGCTAATTTTTGTATTTTTAGTAGAGACAGAGTTTCACCATGTTGGCTAGGCTGGTCTCAAACTCCTGACCTCAAATGATCTGTCCACCTCGGCCTTCCAAAGTGCCCAGACTACAGGCATGAGCCACTGTGCCCTGCCAAGACTCCCATTTTTAAAACCATCAAATCTTGTGAGACTTATTCACTGTCACGAGAACAGCATGGAAAAGACATGCCCCCATAGTTCAGTTACCACTCACTGGGTCCCTCCCATAACACGTGGGAATTCAAAATGAGATTTGGGTGAGAACACAGGCAAACCACATTAGAAATGGAGTGGCCTTCTATTAAAACATGTGCCTCCTTGCAGCTTTAACATTTTTAAGAAAGAATCTTCCAAATTTGACCATTAGTTGATTGTCACAGCACATCTGCCTTTTATTTTTCCCTGTGGCAAAACAGAATATGTTCATTCCAGATTCTTTCCAAAGAGTATGTCACTAGATTGCTGATTACCCAATTCTTATAAGCCCTATAGGAGAAAAAAAAAATAAATTTCTTAGAGAGTTGATAATGTATTTAAAGTCCATTTCTCCTTTTGTATTAATTACGCTTTTTTTTGTACATTTAATGCTTTTACATCTGGGGCCTTGCTGAACCTGGGGCCTTGATGACTAGCTCTTGTTGAACCCTCCCAGAGCTAATCAATTCCCAGGGAGAGCACCCTTCAAATGTAAACCCATTTATCCATATACCATATCCACTAGCACCTCCTTTATCAGGCTCTCAGGGAATCCTCACACTCTGAGCCACTGTTCCTTTCCCTAATCACCCCAGAACCAGGTACCTAAAAACTAGAGACAACCTGTACACTGCAGAACCTGCCAAAATTATTCAAACTAATCAAACCTGAATAATAATAAAACCTACATTTTAAAACACCTTGAGAGCAGACCAGAATTTAGCCAGGTCTCAAACTATTTGAGTCTCTAAGTGACTTACTTTTTAGTGAATAATCTTTCTCACTTATACCATTTACCTGTGTTGTAGTATTTTTTAAAAACAGCTAAGTAATAAAGTATCCCCAAAATAAGGAGGCAATTGCTGGGGCATTTTGAAGCTAGAAATGAAAAAGCTAACAAAATACACTTCTGCCAATTCACCTTGATTCCATTGATTCTTCAGGAACTATCATGCATGTAAAATTGGTTGTCTTTGCTATGGGTTCATCTTGCAGCAATGAAATCACCCTTTTAAAAATTGTGGCCAAAAACACATAACAAAAAATTTATAATCAAACTTTTTTAAGGGTAAAGCACAGTGCTGTTAACTATATGCACATTATTGTGTAATAGAGCTCCAGAACTTTTCATTTTACAAAATGAAACTTTGCATCCATTGAACAACAACTTCCCTTCTCACTTCCCTGACCTCAGCCTATGGCGACCACCATTCTACTTTCTGTTCTGAGTTTGACTGTTTCAGTCAAGTACTTGCCTTTTCATGACTGGCTTATTTCACTGAGCGTAATGTCCTTGGAGTATATCATGTTGAGGCATATGACAACATTTCCTCCTTTTATTAAGGTTAAATAATATTCTATTCTATGCACATACCATATTTTCTTTATCCATCCATCTGTTGATGGACATTTAGATTGTTCTTACCTTTTGGCTCTTGTGAATAATGCTACAATGAAAATGGATGTACAAAAGTCTCTTTGAGACTCTGCTTTCCATTCTTTAGGATATGTACCTAGAAGTAAAACTGCTGGATTATATGGTAATTCTATGTTTAATTATTTTTGAGGTCCTACCACACTGGTTTCCATAGCAACTGCACCATTTATATTAATACAGCAAGGCACAGGGACCCTAGTTTCTGCACATCCTTATCAACACTTGTTATGTTGTTTTTTTGATAATGGCCATCCTATTGCGTATGAGGTAATTTCTCATTGTGGTTTTGAATTGCATTTCCCTAATGATTAGTAATCTATATGCTTTTGGCCATTTGTATGTCTTCTTTGGAGAAATGTCTATTCAAGTCCTTTGCCTATGTTTTAATTGTATTTTTTGGGTTTTTGTTGTTAAGTTGTAGTTCTTCGTATATTTTGAATATTAATACCTTATCAGATATATAGTTTCAAGTATTTTCTCCCACTCCATAGTTGTTGCTTTTGCTGTTAAATTATTTCCTTTGCTGTGCAGTTTTAAAGTTTGATATAGTCCCACTTGTCCATTTTTGCTTTCATTGCCTGTGTTTTTAGTGTCGTGTCCAAGAAATCATTGCCAAATCCAATGTTAAGAAGTTTCCCCTGGGTGGCTCACGCCTGTAATCCCAGCACTTTGGGAGGCCGAGGCGGGTGGATCACGAGGTCAAGAGATCGAGACCATCCTGGTCAACATGGTGAAACCCCGTCTCTACTAAAACTACAAAAAATTAGCTGGGCATGGTGGTGCGTGCCTGTAATCCCAGCTACTCAGGAAGCTGAGGCAGGAGAATTGCCTGAACCCAGGAGGCGGAGGTTGTGGTGAGCCGAGATCGTGCCATTGCACTCCAGCCTGGGTAACAAGAGCGAAACCCCGACTCAAAAAAAAAAAAAAAAAAGTTTCCCCTGTTTTCTTTTAGAAATTTTATAGTTTCAGATCTGATATTTAGGTCTTTAATCCATTTTGAGTTAATTTTTGTAGATGGCATCAGGTAAGGGTCCAACTTCATTCTTTTGCAAGTGGATATCCAGTTTTCTCTGCACCATTTATTGAAAAGACTGTTATTTCCCCATTGTGTAGCCTTGGTATCTTCATCAAAGATCATTTGACCATATATAAGCTTTATTTTAGGGCTCTCTCTTGGTTTATATGTGTGTATTTTTTACAGGGCCATATGATTCTGATTTCTGTAGCTTGATGACGTTTTGAAAACAGAAAGTATGAGGCCTCCAGCTTTGTTTTCCTTTCTCAAAATGAAGTCATACTTTTAACAATGAAAATTGTGTATGAGACAATGCTCTCTGTCAGCTTCTTATGCATTATCTAGTATGCCAGTGACAACAACCCATTGCATAGTGAAGCTGCGCCGCGTTAACAACACACATTGTATAATGAAGCTGTGCGGTGTAACTACATTACAAGCAAAACTCCTTGCCTGTTAAATATTTTTGTGTAATAAATTGTAAAATATTGTAAAGCTATAGCTGTGACAGTAATGAGGTGTGACTAAAATGCAGTAAAATAAACACCTAACCAATGTATTGAAATCAGTCTATCCCCTTCCCAGAATATGACTTTTCAAATAATGCTAAAAAAAAAAATCCTTTGGAATTTCTCTTTTGTCATAAACCAGCCTCTGATTCAGTCACTGAACTACTTTATAAAAGTGGATTCACTACTTTCATTTCCCATGTCATATTTGACTGCATATGACTTTAGATTGTTGATAAATGTCAAATTCTATCTCAAGGTATGAAGATGTTCATTATTGAGGAGACTTAGGAAATTACTTTGAGATGAGACTCATTTAGATGCAAATTTTGAACATATTTACTTTAAAAATCACTCACATTGCCTGATATATATTTATTTATGCATAGAAAAAATTTTGACTATGAGACATCTGAGAAAATAAAGAAAACGCTAAACAAATAAAACCAGGTATCCACAGAGGTTATCTGTCCATGAATACCTCAAATATTCTCTTCTAAATTTTTAGATATGTCAAATTAGACATTTATTTATATACTAATTTGTATTTTCTGTATTCCAAAAAGGATTTTAAGCAAGGTATAGTTAACTCAGTTCAAATAATGGAGATTCTGTAAATCCCAACAGGGAGTGAAATTTATCTAATTCTTTTGTACAGAGATGAAACATATTATTTATTTCCAATTTTGTTTCCCCTCTATGTGCAGACACACATGGAACAGTTAAGAATCTGAATTATTATTATTATTATTATTTTTTTTTTTGAGACGGAGTCTCGCTCTTGTTACCCAGGCTGGAGTGCAATGGCGCGATCTCGGCTCACCGCAACCTCCGTCTCCTGGGTTCAGGCAATTCTCTTGCCTCAGCCTCCTG